AACTTCAATGTGTTTGGTGCGAGCATGCAGAATAGGATTGGCAGTAAGAGCAATGGTAGACTGATTATCACAAAACAAAAGTGTAGGAGAGGAGAGACAGAAACCAATATCACGTAGAACAAAACTAATCCAAGTAAGATCAGCAGTAGTAGATGCAAGTGCTCGATATTCAGCTTCTGTGGAGGACCGAGACACAGTAGGCTGTTTCTTAGCTGCCCATGAAATGAGATTAGAACCAAGATAGGCACAAAAGCCAGTAGTTGAGCGTCTGGTATCAACACAACCAGCCCAATCAGCATCGGAGAATCCATATAATGTCATTGTGCTGTGAGAACGGAGAAAAATACCAAGATGAATGGTTCCTTTAACATAGCGAAGAACCCGTTTCAGCTTGTAAAAATCGGCAACTGTTGGCTGCTGCATCTTTTGACATAAAAGATTTGTGGCATAAGCAAGATCAGGACGAGTGATGGTGAGATACTGAAGACCACCAACAAGACTTCTATATTCAAGTGGATTGGCAAGGAGGCAGGTATCATTTGTCATGATGACTGATCTCAGTGGAAGAGGAGTGGAAACAGGTTTACATTCTGTCATGTTAGCTTTGGACAGAAGATCAAGAGCATACTTAGTTTGACATAGGAAGAGATCAGAATTGGTGCGTTTGGCTTCAATTCCTAGAAAGTAATGGAGTTGCCCGAGATTTTTCATGTGAAATTGAAGACTGAATGACTGAATCAGTTTATGAAGTAGCTGATCTGAGCTGCCAGTCAATATAATATCATCTACATAGAGCAACAAAAGCATTGTTTCTGGACCATCATGAAACACAAAGAGGGAGGGATCAGTAGTGCTACAGAAGAAACCGGCTTCAAGAAGAAAATTGCTAAACTTGTCAAACCAAGCTCGTGGCGCTTGACGAAGGCCATATAAGGACTTCTTGAGAAGACATACAAATTGAGATTGCTGAGGGTGTATAAAACCAGGTGGCTGCTCCATATAAACTGTTTCATTTAGTGTGCCATGTAAGAAAGCATTTTTAACATCGAGTTGATGTATTGGCCAGTGCTTCATCATGGCCACAGAGAGCACTATACGGATGGTAGCATGTTTGACAACAGGGCTAAATGTTTCTGTAAAGTCAACTCCCTCTTCTTGGTGAAACCCCTTAGCCACTAATCGAGCCTTCAATCTATCAAGACTTCCATCAGATGCTAGCTTAGTTTTAAACACCCATTTGCATCCTATGACATTCATTTGGTTAATTCGAGGAACTAAGATCCATGTCTGATTTTCACGCAGAGCATCCATTTCATCCTGCATTGCTTTATGCCAGCCTTCATCAGCTAATGCTGATTTAACCGATCGTGGTTCAAGAGGAACTTTGTATTCAGCCAGACAAGCATATCTGGGATTTGGCTTTACAATGCCAGATTTTAGTCGAGTTTGCATAGAATGAGTAGAAAGTGTACCTTGTGAAACTGGTGGAGGATTTTGCTCAGTATGATCGATAGGAATTTCATCTTGTGTATCAACTGTGTGAGAAAGAACTGCTTGTTCATCAGGGACTGAGGCAGAATGCAAAGGTAAATGAGATGAATATGATGGTATTTCAACAGGTTGAGATGTATTCAAGAGACCAACTTCCAACAGGCCACTATCTTGTAAATGTCCTAGATGTCCATATGAGTGATATGGCACCTGTGCTGCACTTGGATAATCCAGAAGGTGAACTTCTTCTGCCCATTGTCGATACAGAGTAGTATACTGATTGTACTCTGTTGTTAGTTTCCTAGTGAAAGGAAAGAAACTTTCATCGAACAATACATGTCGACTAATGTAAATACGACCATCAGCAGGCACAAGACATCGATATCCTTTATGACGTTGACTATACCCCAGAAATACACATGTGAGTGATCGTGGATCAAATTTATGTTGTGCATATGGTCTGAGACAAGGGTAACATGCACAGCCAAAGACTCGTAGATGTTCATATCTGGGCTTTTGTTGATAAAGCATACTATAGGGTGAGTGCAGTTGTAACTTTGATGTAGGAAGTATATTGATAATGTAGTTAGCTGTCATGAATGCATCAACCCAGTATTTTAATGGAATTCTAGCATGATAGAGCATAGCTAAGCCCAGTTCAACCACATGGCGATGTTTTCTTTCAGAGATCCCATTCTGTTCTGGTGTATAAGGACAAGAAATATATTGTTTGATGCCACAATTCTGTAAAAGGAGCTGAAATTTGTTGCTAGTGAATTCTCCTCCACCATCACATTGAAAGGCTTTGATTCGACGATCAAAATGATTCTCTACTTGCTTCTGAAACATGACAAAGATGTCATAGAAGTCTGACTTCAATTTCATTGGATAAAGCCAACTATAACGGGAAAAATTGTCCACAAAGAGGACATAGTATCTGAAATTCTGAAAAGACTTGACTGGTGATGGACCCCAAATATCACAATGAATCTTCTCTAAAGGAACAGTAGACACAGAATCGGATAAAGGAAATGGTAATGCAGTACTCTTGGCAACTTGACAGCTTCTACATATAGTTTGAGTTCTTGTAGTACAGTGAATCAATTGCTGAGTCTGCAGATGCTTCAATGTTTTAAAGTTGGTATGAGCTAATCGCTGGTGCCACACATCTTCTCCTACAGCTGTATGTCTTTGAGTGAAGAAAGCCTCTGTGATTTGTGGATCCACTTGGTAAAGTCCTCTAATTTTCTTTCCGAGCATCACTGTTGTGTTGGTGCGATTGTCCTTTATATAAACCCCATTTTTATCAAAAACAAATGAACAGGGATAATCATCTGTTAGTCTTGATACTGAAAGAAGATTCTTTTTGATTTCAGGAACAATCAGCACATCATTTAGAGGCAATGAATTAATTTCAGTATGTAACACAGCATCACCAATATATGTAATAGGTAGACATGAGCCATTCCCTATCATAACTGTATCAGTCCCATTGTACTTAGATGAGTTATGAAGAATACCCGAATCTGCAGTGATGTGAGCAGTTGCACCAGTGTCTGGATACCACTCACTACCTTTAGAATCTTCAATGTGCATTGCTGCTAAGGCTGTTGGTATCTCCTCAGCCTGATATGAGTTGTCAAATCGATACCAGCAATGAAGTGCATCATGTCCTGGACGTTTACAAATTTGACATTCCAACCGAATAGTATCACACATCTTCTCATCCTGCAAATGTTTGTTAGATGTTAAACTTGGAGAGGGATATGATTTGGTATCTTGATACCTTTGTGAAGAACCAGCATATGAACGAAATCCTTGACCAGAACTAGGAAAGTTATTAAATTGCTTAAAATGTTGATTCTCCTGATTCTGATTCAAGCTACTTGGTCTGTAACTCTGATTTCTTCCAGGATATCCATAACTATGATTTCTACTGTTAAATGGACGTCCTCTGCCATAACTACGTCCTCCACGATTACTACCTCTTTGACCTCCAAAACCAAAGTTTTGCTGAGCAAGTTCTCTGTCAGACTCCACCTTCTGCTGAACTTCAGACTTTCTTTGTCCATAGTAGGCCAGATGAGGATTATACTGACTTGAGGAATAGCTCTGTAATCTTGTTTCGAATCTTTCTAACTGTGATATTACTTCATCATATTCTGGCTGAGGTTTTAAGCAATACATGGTGGTTCTGAAACTCTCATATTCAGATCCTAATCCCTCAAGAACACCAAACATCTTCGTTATCTCATCTACAGGCTTTCCAATAGCATTTAGCTGATCACAAATTGATTTGTATTCTCTGAGATACACAGATAATGTTCGATCCCGTTTTTGACAGGCTTGTAGTTTTCCTCGTAGTTCAAATTCTCTTGCTACAGACTTCTGTGTAAATCGATTAAGTAGAGTTTGCCATACCTCATATGAAGTTTCCAAACCAATGATCAAACTCAGAATATTCTCTGATACAGCTCCACTGATCCATGATGATACAAGTTGATCTGTTCTTATCCAATCTGTATAATCGGGATTCACAGCTTCAGCTTCATTACCTTCAACTTCAATCTGTAACGTTTGAGTAGGTGATGGAATTTCACCACTAATGAAACCAAATAGTTCTTGGCTTCGCAAGAATCTGTGAAACTGTGCTTGCCAAAGAAGAAAATTGTCGTCAGCTAGCTTGATCGTGACGAAGTTGGAGATGTTTACATGAATTGGGAAAGGATATTTCTGCGTTCTGGCTGCCATTGATGTGGCTCTGATACCATGTGAAAGCTTATGAGCAGAAAGAAAAGTGGGAACAATACGAAAAGAAACAGAGAGAAGAAACAGAGCTTTTGGACTACATCTCTCTGAATACGAAGAAGATTTTCATTATACAGCAAGTCAACCATACATCTCTTCTGTTCTCTTATTTATACTGATACAGAGAAACCATTCAACAGCTCATCTAAAGAAACTAACAAACTAACAGACTAACAGAAACTAACAAACTAACAGACTAACAGAAACAAAATACAGTTGGTTGTTCATTCAGTTAAATGCACAAAGCAGAGTAACGGTTTTGCAGTGGAAGAGGAGTTGGACACGTGATGCTGGAGGTTCTGGAGATTTTCTTGTTGACTCCATCTTTGTTGACTTTGTCTTTGTTGACTTCATCTCTTTTCTTCTTGATTGAATCAGCAATATCGTCATTTCTGTTCTCTGTTGAAACAGAGTGACAGTTGGTCTTAACAATTTTTATGCATCTTCCAATATCATCCACCTTCTCCGTTTAGTCCCCATGTTTTGTTCCCGCGGTTTTTGTAAGTCTCTTCGCTGCCTCCGGCAAGTTTCTTGCATTAATGGTAACTAATTTAACACTTAAGAAACTCTATAAAATGTATTACCTTAATGGTTCAGTGCTTGATTTCCCCTCTAAACAATGGCTCAAGTGGGTAGTGCTGGAGCTCCAAATTCCACATTATGACACTTACCATCTTCTGTCATCTTCCACTTTCATCAGCGTGCTCCAACTTTTCCCTTGCCAACTTGATTTGTGGAAATGGAATTCCATGATCTCCCCCACCAACATCGTTAGTGGCTTTTCACATGAGAAGATATAGGGTGTGAAAAGATCTGCAGAAGACATATTTCGGGGTGAGCCCTCCACGAACGCTCTCCTACCGCCTTTTTGACTTGAGGGTCATGATCATTACCGCGAAGATCGCCGGCCATCTAGAGAATTCTGCCATGTCAAACTATAAATTTAGTGCTTGCTTTGAGTTCCAATGAGTGAGCACGGCATTCACAGATTCTTGGAGATGAAGAGTTTCAGGGCAGGCACTCTTCTTCGACTGCTCGTCGTTTTGCTCGGGCTTTCTCGGATCATCTGTTCGACTTACGCTGTACCGGTTACAAGTAATATTGCAAGCCTTACTAGCTTGATCCCTTTTTCTCTGTTTTTTCCTCTCTACCATCCTCTTTCCTTTCTTTTCTCATGCAAAGTTTGCACTTTGCGTGCGTAGGAACCGGAAGCCTAGTGCAGGAGGCTCGAGTTCATCAAGTTGCAAGCAATTCCATCTCGGTAGGAGAAATTTTAACTTGATGACCCTGAAATCTTTCATTGTTCCAGGACTTGTCTTTAACATTAACTGATGCAAATTTCTTGGTCCCTTTAACAATCCTCAGAGGCCAGTACGGGGAGGAGTTCTGGGTCTAGAAAGTATCCGTGGAAGGATGGAGATTGAGGTCAACGATTATCCGGGATCGGGGGCCAATAATCGCCACACGCCAAAGCCCCAACTTGGGAGAGGATGCATCGACTGTTGAGTCAAGATGTCTTAGCTTGTAGGTTTGGATGTAGTTCTCGGATATATAGACACATTGTCGTATATCTCAGGGCAAACATAACCATGTTCCTTATTCTCTCTCTCTCTCTCTCTTTCTATGTTGCTGTAGAAATTTATTTTAGCTCTAAGGGGTGGCGTTGGATTTCTGTTGTTGAGATATTGTGTAGAAGTAGGAGAAGGTATGTCGAGAAATTTTCCAGTCTTGATGTCGCAGGACTAATGACAGGTTCGTTAATGTCAATGGGTTTGCTTGTATAAAGATGTTCTTTGTAGCTATTTTCTCAGTCGTGTGTTTTTCTCCACAAGGTACTCCTGAATTGGAGAAACCATAATTGATCATATTGATAGGTTTGGCCTAACTACCTTCTCTATATAAAAAATAGGGAATAAATTGAATGGATGGATTGGTGTTCACTCACAGCGTTAAACCAGCAAAAGGGAAATGCAGGTTTCTATGTGGGTAGATGACTCGTGCAACCTGGAATGTTTTGCTTTTCTCTGCATACATTGACCCGTCCATGTATCTAACGACCCTTCTTGCACAAGACACAGCTGTGTCTCGTCAAAACCATGAAAGCGCTTTGCAAAGGTCACGAAATGATCGGTTTTGTCTTTGAAGCCTAAAGTAAAAATGTTAGGTAAACAAACCAGAAAGCTTTTGAAAATTTCTGAGCTATCTGGGGTGGAATTTGGATATCAGGGAGGCAGACAGTGGATTCTAAGGTGCATAAAACCACTCAATGACAATGTTTCTATTTTTTTTTTCTAATAACTTTTATGGCCACTCAATGACAGTGTTTTACATAATTTCATCCTGTTTTTTCTTCTTTCAGCTTGTCTCTAGATGGTCAGTAGCACAGATTGCTTTCAGCAGCAAGTGAAACGAGTAAGGTCAGGAATGCTCCTCATAACGGGCCACTACAGAATTGACTATCAATCAACAAGCTAATGAAATGCTAATCAGAGTAGCATAATAGCTAAGCACACATTACTCTCACTTAGCAATTAAGCCTATTAGTATGAACCTCCTTATCACGTGCCACGGTGGAACTTATCAATTAACTAACTAGAAACTGAAAAGGCAATATATAAAACTTCTGCCATGTTGGAAATGGAAGCAATGGCAGAATCCGGTGTATAATCTGTGTCTGCTAAGAGATAAAGCCTATTGCAGCAGAATGGAGCAGTAGTGAGGGAGATTCAAAACCGGGAAAGAAAATCCCATGAAGAAGAGAGTGATTTGCAAGCACTTTATAACAGGTTCTCAAGCGACACTTTGAAAGAAACAAACACACTTGTACCAAAAGTGTACTGTTATTCAACATGATCTCGACCGGTATCTCCACTTACTGAAGAATGGAACAAGTGTAAGTGGAGGCCTCTCTGCAACTGAACAAGGACTTAACCTTGAGGCGATGGTGCAATGACCGGTGCAATGGCCGGTGTAATGGCCGGTGCAATGGCTGGTGCACTGGAAGGAGCATCGCTGCCGTTCACGGGCTTAAATCCAAACTTTTTGATAAGTTCTTTAGCAATAATTTGGTTAGCGCTATCGGTGGGGTGGTACTCATCCCAGAAGACATACTTGCTCCTGTCTTGACACAGTGTTGATGCAGGAACACACGTGAGAGCAGGCCTGATACTTCCGAAAGAACAGCAAGGCGAGTCCGAGTTGTTGAATCCTACACAGATTAGAAAGAGCAACACTCAATATTTTGCAGACGGGTAAAATGAGAATAGACTGGCCAAATTTTGTAGATAAATGGTAGAGCAAAACTGACCATATTTATATGGGTTGCTTATTACATCATTGACAACATCATAAGCATCGCCGAATCTATAGCTGGCATTGGCAAGTTTGCCTGACAATTTCTCCAGCATCTGGCTTGTGGCTCGATTGAAGCTGAGTGCCAATTTGTTTGCCCTATCTTGACAGCCCCCCGATGAACTTAACACCCTTTGGAGCGGAATGCAACCCATCGGCCCCAACCCGAACACCATTAGCTGCCTTGCCCCTAAGCTGTGCAATAACTATGAAATGTGCACACTTCCAAGTCAACAATCTCATCAACTGTGAAATGCAGGGCAGTCATGTATCTCGTTAACTGGATTTCAGTATGAAGATTATCACCTGAAGTTGTCCCTGGAGAGTCTTGGTCAAATAATCGACGAAAGACTCGTCGTTGTATTTCCACGAATCACTGTAAACTGGCATCAGGTAATTGTTGATGAAGTCATTGCTTCCTAAGGCGACAACATACCGGGATTCTTGGAAGAACTTCTGAGCTGCATTCAGGCCGATCTTTTTCCTGATCAGTTGCTGTGTTCCTTGGAAGAGCTCGATTTGCTTGTCCAGAGCAAACCTTTGAATCTGCAAGAAGTTATGTGATTATAGTCCAAAGTTTTCGAGAAAATATCTAGGAAATATGTCTTAATAGCGGTCGGGTACTTACAAAGTACGTCCCTGTTTCATTCAAGATCCCTCCACCTCCTGAGGCATAGTTCACTCCATTTTCCAAAATCATGTCCTCCGTTAGAGACGGATCGAGAAACGGAGGTGGCCTCGGAAGACCCATTTCGTCGCCTGCGGCAAGATCACAAATTTACATCAAGAGCTTATGAATTGAACCAAGCACAGCCAAGAGAGCCTGATTAAATTTAGTTTAAGGAAGTTAAAAGGACCAGTGTTTTCTCTTCTCTTACCAATAATATCTGCAACAGTGCGGCCATTGCTGAACCTCCCATTAGGGAGTCCATTGCCGAAATCGATGCCGTACCACGGCAAGTTGGCCTTGGCAAGGCTTCTCGACAGCCGGTTGTTGTTGCCATTGTCTGAAAGAGAGTCCCCGAAAATGAACTGCACAACCTTGGAATCGCATCCCTTAAGTGATACCCCAAGGATGGTCAGTATCACTGTCGTTAGTACCAAAACAAACCTCATATTCGAAACAGATTTTTCAAGAATTCAGGTATTTTAATGAAGCTCTGTCTGTTCCGTGCTTGATTCAGAAAGTTCGAGGAGGGGGGGTTTTATATGATCCGGTGCACAAGATTCTGACAAGAAACCCCGGAAATGAACGTCTCATAGATTTTGTTGATGAACTAACTGTAAGGTTATTCAAACCGACTGCATCTACTTCTTGTAGCAATTAACCCACAAAAACATCGCCCTGGTAATTCGAGAAACTCTCTCTCTCTCTCTCTCTCTCTCTCTCTCTCTCTCTCTCTCTCTCTCTCTCTCTCTCTCTCTCTACATACATGAGAGCAGTCAGGACGCAGCAGGGCACAAGAAGGACGTGTGTTAGTCATGGATTTCGCTTGACCTGACTGCAAAACGATGGAGAAACTTGTTTGACTAACAAGAGGATGTTTCAGGGTTTTCGAACATCTCTAGAACGTCCTGATATCGTCCCTGTGAAACGGGGATGGTGAGTTCACCTACCATGTATGTGTTGCGTGCATGACGAGGTCAATGCTTGTTTCTTCGCCGAGATGACTGACTTGTTAGTACAGCTCTCCCCAATATTCACGATGTCTGCACCTACAAAAGGTTAAGAAAAATCCATGGCTGCACATTTTCCGGTCCGGTGCGGGTAGCTTCCTCCCAAGATGCACGTTTTCGATTTTGACAGGTGTTTGGCCAGGCTTTCTAACTAGTGCGCGGACACTTGTTGATATATATATCTCTGTGTGTGTTATGGCTCAATCTAAAATACTATTCGGAATTTAAAAGATTATGATAAAAATTAACATTAATTTGTATGTGGACGTTCAAACATTATGAACTTTTGATTTGTTTAAAATTATAAATAAAAAAAGATCACAATGCATCCACGGCAAAAGCCACTTTGAAAAACTCTTTTAGTGATTTTGGGATGGCAATAGGAAATGCCAAATTAAAAAGGGTGTAATCATGTTTTTTTTTTTTAATCCCTAATCGGGATCCAAGGAAATTTCCTCTAATCGCGTCACTTGATTGATGAGTTACAATTACGGGTATCATCCTGTGAGTGATGGCTCATAGGTTGCTTGGATGAATATTAACATACCGCATTGGCATACCATTGATGCTTGATGTAGCGGTGGGATGAATATCGTTATTCTTGTTAATTAAGAAAATTGTCTAAAAAGTCTGAAACTTATTGCATTTTTATCAATTCAGTTCCAAACCTTTTACATTTGTGCAAATTCAGTTCATTCGGCCAATTTTGATTGTGGAGGGTGGCGGCGAAGGTGGCGGAGGAGCAGTCGTTAGTGACGTTGTGTGTCTCGCCGCCATGGTAGAAGAGGGACTTGGAGTGGGGCCAGGGGATGACGTGGCCGCCGTAGCTGCACATGAGGTGGAGGGATGCGGAGGCAGCGACGACGGCAGTGAGGGATTTGTGGAGATTCCGATTTCAATCCAATGCGTCTGGCTTCAGTTGCTTGCCGAATTGAAGAAAGTACCGCGTGAAAGTTTGAGCTTCAAGGCTCTTTGCTTCGTATGAAGGTAATAAATTTTAGTTAAAAGAGAAAAATTAATGGTGAACCAAATCTTTTGACAGTTTTCGAATATAGTCTAGACAGTCCATCGGAGCTGGTCATCTTCCGTTGAAATGGCCGGCGTTTTGACATAAATTTTTTTATTTTTTAGTCTTTTATTTTCTTTTTTTCCTTTATCTTCCCAGATTTTCGGCCGGCAGGGTCACCGAGGCCCCAGCAATGATCAATGAGTAACCCCGCCAATTGGAATCGGGGAAGATGAAGGAAACAAAGAAAAAAAAATTAGAAGATTTCTCAAAACAAAGTTGTTTTAAGTGCTATCAGACGCATCAAATCATCAACCGTGCCACGTAAGATGCCCGGGGTACACGTCAGCGATTAAGGACTACATTGGAAAATCGTGAAAATGTTTAAGATTATATTGGCCAAATTGAAAAGTTAAGGACTAAATTGACAGTCATACAGTAGGTTTAAGATTTTTTTTGGACAATTTTCTTGCTAATTAATTGGATTTGAATCTGTCAATGAGTTCATAAATGGCTCGTGATTGTAAAATATGAAGGGCCCTAATTCACGAGTAAATCGTTCACAATAATCTAGGGAGCTTCCAGTAGCGTTGATGACCGATAGTCAGTGTTCAGCAATATTTAATACAGAACATTAATAATCTCGCCTTTTTATTACCTACCAAAACGAATTTACAACTGACGTTTGCTTATCTATGATGTTCGAAATTCATAATCAATTTACAGTCAAAGTACCTCAATATATGCAGCTTCTAGGTGAAAATCTTCAATTACAAGATACGCAAGAAAAAATTTGCTAAAAAAAAGAAGAAGAAATAAGTCCTGTAGCCAGCGTATTTATCCACGGCTTAATCGACAGGGAATTATTAAGCAATTATTCGATTTAACTCCATTTACTTTTATTACTATGCAGATATTTTGTATGTATACATAGTGTAAAAATCTTAACGGTAACATTAGGGTTTCAAAACAGGAAACATTCTACGTTGAAATACGATACCCACAGGGACATAATCTTCGACCGATCATACCAACATCGGAGATAGAGACAGAAGTTTTGAGTAGCTGTTCCAACGTCCATCTCTCTCTCTCTCTCTCTCTTTCGCAGGCCGAGCCAGGTGAGACTCGCTCTCCATCGACGCATCTTCGCTTAGATTTTCATGGGTTTTAGCTTGAGACTTCGAGTATGATGATTGCTCGTGGGATTACTATCGGTCTGATCTGGGTCCTGCATTCTCGCGTTACATGTCTGAGTAGATGACTTTCGATCTTCATCGGTAAATCTGTGGATGTAGTATTGATCTTGCTTCTGTCTTGAAAACCCTTTGAGATTTTGAATTACTCGGAGGCCAAGCGATGATTCAGCGAGAGGTGTATGTTCGATATCTATTGGCCTAATATGCTTCCCGTTAGGTTTTTGCTTTACTTTGATGGCGATTGTTCAAGATTCGTTAGATTTGATGGAATAAGATGACGGAGGAAAGGGAGTGTAGTTGGGCGGAGACTGTTGAATGTCTGATTTTTATCCTTGTTTGTTTGGACAAGATCATTCGATGGACAAACTTCCTCTCCTGCAACTGAATATAGTTCTCTCTCTCTCTCTCTCTCTCTCTCTCTCTCTCCGTTGCAGACAAGGAAAAGGACATTTCGGCTTGGTCGGATTCAAACACTCGAATAATCAACATGGGTCGCGCTAAACTGAAACTGGAACTCATGTCCAATTCAAGATCTCGCAGAATCACCTTTGAGAAAAGAAAGAAGGGACTGCTAAAGAAGGCCGAGGAATTCAAAATCCTTTGCGGGGTCGACACGTGTGTTATTGTCTACCCAATGGGGTTGTCCGGTGATGGTCTGGTCGAGCCAGAGATCTGGCCGCCGAACAGTAAGGAGGTGGAGCGCATCGTCTGCCGCTATCGAAGTGAGGCCCAAGATCGCCGTGCCAAGCACGCCACGGGACTGCGCGAGTTCTTCACAAGCTGGAAAAAAAAGATTGATGTAGAGCTGGCCGAGGTCCGCAAGGCCAACTTGGAGGCCAAGTATCTGGTCTCGGACGAGTTCCTCAAAGATCTCTCAGAGCCTCAATTGAGGTCGCTCCTGAGCGCTGTGGGCGATAGACTCGAACAAGCGAAGACGAGGCTTGCCACGATGAAGGAAAAGAGAAGGGTCGAGATGGCGGCACCAAGTGACTGGACCGTTCCCAATGGCGGAGTAGACCTCTATGCAAGCAATGCAGGCTTCATGCAAGACGGGGTGGTCGAAGCCGGACTGCGTTTCGAGTCCCTATATCAACAGGACAATTCAGTCAGATCAGTCCATGAATATTTGCTACCATTGAGTTCCTCACTGCCTGAGTATTCAACGCAGTTCGGACCCTCGAGAGGTGACTATTCTTGGTGCAACACTGTCAATGAAGTTCAGATCAGAGCATGATGTGTGACCCCTGCAAGAAATTTTTGACACCAGATTGTTTTTCATGATCAGGCTCAATTCTTCATTGACCCAACCTATTCCTAAGTAATCCACTGCTACAAGAAGCCGCTTAAAGGGCCAACAGGAGTCATCCGTCGTTTTAGTTTTCATTCAACTGTTTTTTGTTTTTTACCTGTCCAATAAAAGCTTCGACGCGATCAGACCGGGCTTAACGGTGATTTTGCACTACTTGTACAGAAAAATCTTAATAAAGTTGGCAGAGTTGACATTCAGCTACTTGTGTTTCTGATGTTTTGTGGGATCCAGATTTTCTGACATAAAGTATATTTATTTACTCTGATTGATTCTGGGATAGCAGTAGGAAATGCTAAAATAAAAAGGGTGTAGTCACGTTTTTCTTTATCCCTATCGGGATCCAAAGAAGATTTCCTCAAATCACGTCACTTGCTTGATAAGTTACAAATACGGGTATCACCTACTAAGTGATCGCTCCTAAATTGTGTCTTATCAATCAGAGGTAGGGTTAGAGGATGTTTATTGTAACGAGAAATGCAGGAAAATATAGCCAAAAGAACAAGAAAAGACTCGCGATGATTTGGAGTCAAGTGCTCCGACCCGCGGATCCATCCACCCGAAGTTGTGATGAGCATGGGCCATTGACATCAATCTAGGATCCATAAAGAAAAGTTAAGGGCTTGAAAGAACTTGCCGAAATGGGCCGGTTCGGGTTCATCGGGTGGGTCAGCGTCGGCCCAAGCCCAAGTTAGATTATCAAATTTGGAGACCTTGGATACTTTTCGTTCCCTTTGGTCTTTCTTTATTCAATCATATTCTCAGTGCGTTTATTTCACGGAAAATGTAACGTTTTTGGAAAATGTTTTTCGGAAAATCATTTTTCAGGAAAATAGTTAGTTTTCCTTTGTTTGGTGATATGTTATCGAAAACATTTTCTGGTATTTGGATCTCATTTGGAAAATGATTTCAATCCATGATTTTATCTCAGGCAAAAAAAAAATCGAATTTTTATTTTAAAAATAAAAAAGAAAAAGAATAAAAGAAAAAAAGAAAAGAATAAAATATTTAAAAAAGTAAAGGGAAGAAATTCCGGAAAGTGTTTTTACCATCTTAGATTAGGGAATTCACTTTCTTGATTTTATACATAAATTTTCCTTGACCGGAAAGTGTTTTCGATTGACTAATCATTTTCGGTGAAGAGCAAGGATATACGCATCTCCACTTTGGTGCTATTCGCCTTGCTCTCTTTTTTCATGGCCGAAAAGGATTACCTATTGCTGCTCGCATGGCCTTTTTGGACACATCAACATCTATAGGATTTGGAATTTTTGGCATGTGCCGAAACTGATGGTGAGCGTCTGTAAATTCCTCTAATGCTAGGAAAGAGGCACTAGAATTGGTCCTTTTCAAAGGCGAAAAGTCCGAGGGTTGGAACATACCAACAGCTCGGAGTGCTGGCGGTGGTTCGTGCTTTAAAACACATGAAAGCTGAAAAGTCCGGAAAACGGATTTTCGGAAAATACTTTTATTGAAATAAACGCACCCTAAAACTATAATAAAGTTGACGATTCCCACCGCTATCAACTGAGAAGAATGAGGTTTGGGGGGACCAAGTCAATGACGCAATTGCAATTTGATATGATAATGAACGATAGCTGATGTCATAGTGCATTGGGACAAAAGACATTTCATAGCATGAGCATGAGATGTCGTGCACGCTTTTGCATAAACCCTAGACTATCCTCAAGAGGCAAACGTGGTCGATAAATTTGGCTATTTTAAGCATAAGGGTACGATCAAACTTAGGTCATCTTGAGCACGCTCGACCTTTTTTTAATTTCAACTCAAGGAAATGCTTGAAACAATAGGCAAACTATTTTCTTTTTGTAAAAGTCTAGTTCTTCTTTCCGATGTTAATGTTGTCCTACATCGTGCACTTTTTTGTGCCTAGATTAAGTAAGGAACCGCGATGTCTAGTGCATCAGGGGAGACCAGATTCTCGCCGCGTCTACGATGTGGGTGTTGACCGATGGCAAAACAAAGCTTTTTGAAAGTCTGATCAGATCGATGGGTTCAGTTGAAGCATTGGTACGATAACAATTTGAATATTTTTTATCGAATTTTCTAGAGTTTGGCCAATTCGATCCTACTTTATCCGGTTCAACTAAGTCACTTTGCGATGCGGGAGCATCAAGGTTCGATGAGGAGACGGCATTTTAGATGAAGTTTGTACAAGTTGGAAAATAAAGACTCATTTTTTTTTGGTCAAAAAATAAAGATTCATTTAGCGGAGTCAAATATTTCCTATTTCAAGTTGGTTTTCTATTGCCCAAATACCACAAAAAATCACAAATTATATCCACTGTGACACAAATACCTAACACTTTTTTTGTGTCACCAAAAATCCTAAACTTACTCACTGTGACACAAATAGTCCCGACTTTTTTGGTGTCACGAAAAACCCAAACTTATAAATGTGTGGAATATATACCATTTATTTCAATACCATATGGGATATATTTGTCATACTTGTATAAGTTCGGGGTAAGTTCGGGAGTGTTTTTGTCACAATGGACAAGTTTAGGATTTTTAGTGACATAAAAACAAAATTCGAGGTATTTGTGTTACGGTAGGCATATTATGGAGTTTTTTTGTGGTATTAACCATTTCTATTTTGAGTAGATTTTTTTTTTTAATTTGACTAGTGTTATCTAGTTTGATATTTCCTAATTTGATGCTTCCTAGTTAAGTCTTTCCAAATTTAAGATTTCCTAGTTTAATCTTTCCTAATTAAGTTTACTAGTCACAATTGTAAGCCTGCAGAGTTTTGAGTTGATAATACATTAGAAAATTACTCTCAAGCGAGTGATTTTTTTTGGTTCTTCATTCACATTTCACATCTGTGGTAAACCTTAAAAGTCCTTTGATTATTTATCCAATTCTTCGGTGGCGAATCTTAAAGTTCTTTATCCTTGGCCAATGGACGACTCTTTTATGCCTTGATTGTGTACTCTTTTATTTCAAAGTTAATTTGTACGCATACACACCACGCACTGCATTGGACCCCAGTCGGATTTCTAACGCAATTTTGAGAAACACCGCCATCGAATCAAAACACAAGACCCTGTGACAACTGAAGGAAGAGAAATTACAAGCCATGATCAAAATATAGCCGTTGAAAAATATGGCAAAACCAACGGCTCAGATGTGCTGGAATATAAGAACAGGAACAAAAGGCAGATTCTGATTCTGATTCTCAGCACAGCGACGGTGTATAATACAGTAGAATACGCACCAATCCGGCATACGAAAGGCGGAAAGAGCCTACAGAGGCGGCTCGTGTACCTATATATATATATATACATACACTCGCCCGGATACCATTTGTTGTTATAGGCTTTTATTTTCTTCTGGGGTGGTTGTCGAAGGCAGTCTTGATTTTCTCGAGGCGCTCCGGCGGAGAAAACTAACGACACCACCGACCAAAGCGCCAAGAAACAGCCGAGTGAGTCTTTCTTATTAATCCGTCCCCTCTTCTCTCCGTTTTCTGTCAATAGAGCCCATTTTCGTTTCTGGGTCGGGTGAAAGATCGAAGCTTTTGGTCTTTTCTTGCTGTTCTTGGTATAATTTCTCGCTCCTCTGCCCTGTTTTGAGGTTCATTTCGTCTGGCCCTGAATTGCGCGCGCGTGACCAAGATTTCGGATTCGTGTGCGCTTTGTCGCTGCTGGGTTGGTTTTACCAGGGTGCCATCTTGGTTCTGTCGATTTGGATAGTGATTCTGGCGATCTTGATGTTCTTTTTTGTTGGGTGGTGATTGATGAGGGTGTCTGGCGCGTCCGGATCGACGAGCTTTTTGTTCTTGCAGATCTGATTTCGCCAGTTTGGACCCGTGTTTTGTTGGCTTGAGCTTGAAGTGTTCTTCATTTTTATGGGATTGAATTAGCTTTCGCTGCCGTGAAAACGAAAGGCTGAATAGGATTCTGCTGCATTGCTGTGTTTCGTGGGGTTTTCGTTATTGGTCCTGTCTTCTTGATAGGTGCATGTAAGGTTGTCATGAGTGAACGCTCGTCGTGCTTTTCTTGGAATTTGGGTATTCAGCTCGTCTGCTGAACTTGTTTTGTTAAGTGGTATTGAGTAAACGCCGATCCTGTTTTGCTGCGACTGCAAACACATCCAATCTGGGTTATATGGTTCTCTCTTTTCTTTGGGTGGAAAAGGAAGCTGTAAAAGTGAAGAACAGGAAACTTCTCTTTCCACCTATTTGTGTTTGTTGGTTAGGTGTAGCCGGTTTTTTTGCAATGCATGGCCTTTTGCTATCGAAATTGCTTTTCAACCATTCGCTTAACTCCCATCAATCCTTTCTGGATATTTGAGTCTTTTTGCGGCAGATTCTACGTATTTCATCATGACTTGAACTTTCAGGCTTTAACTTGTTTTAATTCTTAAAAGAGGAAATATCAGTAAGTGCTGCCCAGGTTGGTCTGTCGTCAGAAATATGTCAACAGATATGAAGCTTACAATATTTGGTGCCTTCATCCAAGGACTGGTCTTTTGGGATTTGTATATCATCGGTCATGCTTTCTTAGATAATAATTCGATGCTGATTATATTTGTGAACCTCTGGAACTTTCATACTGCAAAACGGGAACTTGAAATGTTTGGATTTGTTGGAAAGCATTTTTCATTGGGATTTGATATGCCTTTGATATAGTTTGACTGCCTTTCTTTTTACCTAACTTTTAAAAATAATTTTTCAAGAACTATACAGTATTTATCTTTTATAAGATATGTGTGCGCATCTCATATACGAACTTTAGAATTCCGTGGCTGCAATTACCCTAGAAGATTTCTACTTAAACTAAGTTGTTCACTGATCTATAGGAGATTTCACTTCAACTAATTTGAGTCGTTTTATATCTTCCTCTACCTTGAGATTTGCTGGTGTTAAGAGAACACAAAATTTTATCATTGTCTGTATATCCTCCTTCATGTTGACTGTGACCACAATTGTTGGGTAAGTTTTATCTATCTTCCCTTTTTTGCAATTCTGTTAACAATTATATCTCGTACTTCATCTCTGAATGTTCTGAGAACTTTTTGCAATATAACTTCTTCTTGAGAGCCCTCATATTACCCAAGACAACGATACAATCACACTTCATCTCTGAATGTTCAAGCGCTTACTTGTTACATAGTGGTAGAGCTATTGTGCTTCTGTGATTCTTAATTGGTTATCCTTTTAGCTTTTGATGGACACAGCCTAGTCTAGATCAGAAACTGAGTATGACTGATACTATACTACTATCTTTCCATAGTAGGCTGACTCATTTGCGGCCTCTAGAGGAGTAGATTACCTATTCAGTATTCCTTGGTGCAATATATTGCCACTTCTTTTGCCAATATATATATTACCTGAAGCTTTTAGGGCTTTCTTAGACTGATTGATTGCGCCTAGTGGTAGCATATCTTCTTCTATGCTTGTTTCGTGTCAATGGAATGTGCAATGACATGTAATCTTTGGCAGAGTGCAAGATGGCCGCATCATCAGCTGCTTCCATGTCAATTGGATCGACAGTCTCTTTTGGCAACAAAACTGGTCCCTTTCCTCAATCAAAACCTTTTGAAGTGAAAATCAGCTCACAGAATACTTTCACAAGTTTTAGCGGCCTGAAGGCAGCAAAATCCGCGAGCTGCGAAGCAGACTCATCCTTCATGGGCAGGGAAACAACTTCAGCTCTGAGACAATCTTTTGCACTGAAAGCCCAGAAACAAAACCAGAATTTCCAATATGAACTCCAACCACAAGCATCTTACAAAGTGACGGTTCTTGGTGCAGCTGGTGGGATCGGTCAACCTCTGGCACTTCTAATCAAGATGTCCCCCTTAGTTTCAGCCCTTCACCTTTACGATATAGCTAATGTAAAGGGAGTTGCAGCTGATCTTAGCCACTGCAATACTCCTTCTCAGGTTCTGGATTTCACCGGAGCCTCTGAACTGGCCGAGTCCCTAAAAGGCGCTAAGGTAGTAGTCATTCCAGCTGGTGTTCCAAGAAAACCGGGTATGACCCGTGATGACCTGTTCAACATAAATGCCAACATAGTGAAGACCCTTGTTGAGGCTGTGGCAGATAACTGCCCTGATGCCTTCATCCACATCATCAGCAACCCGGTTAACTCAACTGTGCCGATTGCAGCAGAAGTTCTCAAGCAGAAGGGTGTTTATGACCCGAAAAAGCTATTTGGCGTCACTACACTCGATGTCGTTCGTGCAAATACTTTTGTCGCTCAGAAGAAGAACCTGAAACTCATTGATGTGGATGTCCCGGTTGTGGGTGGACACGCCGGAATCACCATTTTGCCCTTGCTCTCGAAGACAAAGCCTTCGGTTAGCTTCACAGATGAAGAAGTGGAGAAGCTGACCGTTAGGATCCAGAATGCCGGGACTGAAGTGGTGGAGGCGAAGGCTGGCGCAGGGTCAGCCACACTTTCCATGGCATATGCTGCCGCTCGATTCGTGGAGTCTTCCCTGCGCGCTTTGGATGGAGATGGAGATGTCTACGAGTGCGCCTTTGTTCAGTCGGATCTCACCGACCTTCCATTTTTCGCATCCAGGGTTAAGCTCGGGAAGAACGGGGTTGAAGCACTGATTTCCTCTGACCTCCAGGGGCTGACGGAGTTTGAGCAGAAGGCCTTGGAAGCACTTAAGCCCGAACTGAAGGCCAGCATCGAGAAGGGCATCGCATTTGTCCACAAGCAACCAGTTGCTGCTTAAGATAGCAGATTTGAAGCGCTTAAATTTTCTCTCTATACTATAATCATTGGAGGTAAACCAAACTGATACAGCTGGTTGAGTTTTATGTCGATTTATCCGGAACTTTTGGTTTGTTGGGAACTCGGAGCGGTTTTGTTTAATTTTCTCGAGAATTTCATGTTGTCATAGATACCGTGTACTCAGGTTTTACGAGTATGTAGGAGCTCGAAAGTTCCAGAATAAGAACCCCTGGTAGCGGGCCATTTTACTTTAGAGGAGTTCCATCATATCGCATTACGGATTATCCCGCTTTGTTTTTCTCAAAATTCTGCTATAAGCAAATCATATTGACACCTTGATATCTCTTCTGGGATACTTCTATGTGGGTTTTCTAAGGCCTAGAAATGGTTGCGGAGCATACTATAAGTTCCGGTCCTGGTGATTGCTAATCCTGCATATGATTGTTTATGACAGCAACCGTTGTATCATTGTTGGCAGACTGAGGTGGACAGCACAATTCTTTTCCCCCGACATGTTGGTACAGTAAAATACCGGATCAAACAGGGTCTTTTCTCAGATTTAGGACAATCATATAGTACTACTACATGAAGGAGAGTCATCAAACAAGAGAGATCTCACGTCCTCTTCATCTGCAGTACCCGTGCTCGTGCCCGTGCCCTCGTATTCCGCAGTTGGGCTGCTTTTAGAAGAAGCGCTTCCTGAGTCCATCAGCCCAACCAGCTTCCTCTTCTTGTAGTTTGCTTTGAAACAGGCTTGTCTCAGCCTCTTTGTCTTATCCTCTAGCTGTATATCAGGGAATTCCTCCATTAGCTTCTTCTCTAGCTCAAGCAAATTCACCACCTTCCTGAGCTGCTGCTCGTTCTCCGATTCTCCTCCCATTCCCTGCGCATCCAAAGCGATCTCACGAAATAAAACATCGGGACACCTGAAAAAGCGGCTTTCTCCTGGTGTGTTTTTAGGTTGAGTTCCTTTTGGTCGAAGTTGGCTTCGTCTTTTCATGTCTAAACAGGTAGGTTTCATCTTGTGTGAATTCTAATTCCATGCATGATTTGTTTTCTGAATGCGTAGTGCATTTACATGACTCTCTTAATTCAATTAAATACAATCAACTTGAAGCGGAACTGATCCGTGTCCACTTAGGAAACCGATCTTTACGCTAGAATTCCTCAAATAGATGCAAGGTACTTGCTACCACTTATGTATGTTCACTTCACTTGAACGCCACTGAATCTCTCTGAATACAACAGCCTAAAAAAAACAATGGGAAACGAATAAAAATAAAAACCTGGACATTCTTGATGAGAGTGCGGAGGCTCGTCAACTTCCGGTGGGGCCACCGCCGGATGCCTAACTCTCGACACCGTTTCTTCAAGAGGGTCAACCCGATGTTGAGCTCCTTCGCCGCTCGGGTTATCGGCATGTAAAAGTATTGCGATATTTGCTCCCTCGACAGCATTCTGCTATTGCCGTGGCTATCACTCTTGTCTTCCGCGCGTCTCTTGTCACCACCACACACTTCACTGTGCCCGTTTTCTTGGCCACTGTTATGGAGTAACAGAACACGTTTCGTGGGCACGTTCTGTGCACCCATCTCCTCGAAGATCACCGTCCCATTTGCAGAATAATTTTGAGAATCAACACCTTATGCAACATCAACAGTTAAGGAACACAAAATCACATAAAAAGAATGAAGAATAGATCAAAATAACCAGTGTTTCATCGTCATTACTACCTTGAATAGCATCGGGAGGGTTGTGCTCAAAATCAAGAACTTGAGGGCACAAAGGATCCAGTGGGAAGCCTGTGATCAGAGGAGGAGCTTCCCAAAGGCTCTCTTGATGATCAAATGGCAAATAACAGTTCCAATCCAGTGCAGTACATCCGTTTCCACTGCATAGCATAGGAACCAAGGATCAAATCTTTCGGCGATTGCACACTTCATAAAGCAAAAGAACTTGAGAATAGATCGAACAGCAAAGCAAAACCAGGAGCTAATATAGTACCTGAAATCGGGTGAGAGGAGGGTAGGGAAGAAGAAAGGGTCGTCTTCTTCTTTAGCCGCTGCTTCATAATTGCACCAGGACTTGAGTGACCTTGCCATGGCCAACCATGAAGAAATCTTCGATGAATGCACCACCTATCTAATCACCTTCACGTAATCGGCTCATTAAATAGATCCGAATTGTGAGGAAGTGGGCGTGCATAAATACACATACGTTGAAGGAGTAGCCCACGAGACGCAAACATGCATTCGTGTTGTCTGTCATGAATGAATCTCATTAAAATGTTCTTGGTGATCGCGCGCGCCGTCGGGCCATGCACGAATCGATGCCTTCATTCATCACGCATCATCGCAGGTGTCTCCGGGAGTTACAAGATTACGATGATGATAATCTTTTGAGAGAGAAAGAGAGAGAGAGATTACGAGGACTCTTGGTAATAATGATGACGGCGGAACACGACGATGAGAGAGAGTCTTACGCATTGGATCTCCAGTCCGAAGAAGCAATTTTCAAGGTTTGAGAAGCGGGACGTGATCAAAGATTTCACTCCCTCCGAGATCATTTTAGGCGTTCTAAGATTGCTGTTTTGATAGATTACTTGGGTGTTTATGCGATGGTGTCATGCAGTTGGACAACGATGGTTCTTGATTCCGGGAGATAAGGTTTCGCCATTAGTGTATCCACATGCATGTGCGCCACGTTCCATCATTAGTTCTTAATCGAACCTTTCCTTTTTCTCTTGGAAATACAATATCAAATCACCCATTGTCTCATTCTAGACTTGAGGTAGACTACGCTAATCATGAGAAAATTACTTGATTAATGTCTAACCTATTGTACGGATGTCAATTCAGCGATTTCCGATAAAAATTAATCGGAATAACTACATTAGAATTTCACGCAAAGGTTCAAGATTAAATTGACAAAAGGAAAATTTAGGACTGAATTGGTATCCGTATACTATGTTTAGAACTTATTAGATAATTTCCCTAGCTAATCATAGTTCCAAAAGATGTGGGGTAATTTGCAATTTTCCTAGTCCGGTTATTAGTACGTAACATAGGTCGTTGTTCTTCTAAACCAATGCTGCAAAAACCTTTGGAAACATTTGGAGGTGGGGACATAGTTTATGAAACAACTTATCTTGAGAAATTAAAGTTCCATGACATGAGAAAACCTATCCGGTCCACCATCATTTCGACTTCACCTATTAACATTGCCTTTGCTGTGCCGCTTGACATACCGGCTATATCAATCTGAAACCTAAATCTTCCGATGATCATTGTATGACGTATCGCCGATCGACGTGACAGGTACAAAAATCAATGACAATCCCTCATCTATCAACGTGATGGCTCATACCCTAGCTTCAAGATACGTACAGTTAAAGAGCGGCAATTATTTTCATTGTGGCTCATGCCCATCTTCGCGCATCATTAATACTAAAGGTTCTGTCAAGTAGCATCTCGTGACAAGTTTAGAACTTTAACTCTAATTTTTTTACGTAATATGCAAATCAATATTTTGAAAAGTATGCTTGAATCTTGACGGTGTTGATGACCCAATTACCAGCGAATATCACATGACAAATACATAATGCCAAATTCAAAGTTTTTTTGAGATTTTTCTCTTTTCCTTTTGCTGCGTGAAAAACCACATTGTTTTCTGCACCAGCATGAATAGTTGCATTGTCTTCGGCCTTGAGTCGTCCATTGTAACAGCAATCATGATTGCGTAACTTCTCATTCCCCAAAAAGATAATCATTCATTAAGATCTTCATTAGCGAGGTCGCGCTGCCCTACTTAATAATTACTGCAAGGGGTTTATACCGAGAAGATAATATAAAAATAAAATAAAAACGAATAAATGAAAGAATAGTAATTTCTAAAATGAATGAGAATCGTGGATTGGCTAACTAAATAGCCAATGAATGGGCACTCTTAAGTGTAATCGGTTACGACCATTTACATATGATTGCAATGCTAATTATTGATTATATTTACTTGGGTACAATTTTTTTTCTTTTTTGGATGAGTTATGTTCCCTTTATTATCTCCACAACGGACATCCGTCGGGGATTAATTGCAAGATAAATCGAAAATCAAACAAAACAAAAACATGGCAATCGCTTTCGAGAATTCCACTAGTACTATACTTCCAAATTATTTGATTGTTATTGTTTGGTCTCTAACCGAAAACTCTCCAACAACTGCATACGTATGACTATTGAGAAGAAGTCGAACCGGAACACAAAGAGATTCGATATGAGTAAGATAAAACGTGTTTGATCAATAAAAAGATATGAGAATTGAGCGCACACCGGACTTCATCGAGTGAGTAAAAAATGTGACAGAATACGACATAGAAGTTCTTCATATATTCCAATTAGACCTTAACCACATAGTACACACATTTCCTCTAATATCCTAGCGGGTAAATATCAAACACCACCGTTTACACGACAGAGAAAAAAGCACAAATCACAAAGAGAAAATTCGAGTATGACAGGACACAGCATGCTCAGCTCCCTTCTATCCACGAGACGAGTCCTGATGATTTTCGGGTCGAAACGAAAAGGAAAGGAGCTGGGCATGGTCCAAGCCCATACCTTCTTTGAAGCCACTTTCTTCTTGTGCTAGACCATGCCCAAAATGATAAAAACCCGTATAACAAGAACTCTAGTCCTTCCCAAGCCCAATGGACCATTTCATCACCATTCATCCACAATTGTCCTTTTATTAAATTAATTTGTTTTTTTTTAGGTTAATACCACGAAAAAACTCAAACTGATACACATGTGATAAATTTACCCCAAACTAATTTTTTGACCACAAAAAACCCCAAACTGGTATACTTGTGACAATTTTACCCTCCGTTAGTTTCCATTAAATTTTACCGTCAAATTTCTGAATTAGATGACATGTACAGTTGATGGGTGTACCAATTTGGGGTTATCCTATGTTTGTCACAAGTGTACTGGTTTGTGATTTTTCGTGGTACTAATCCAATTTAACGGAGGGTAAATTTTGTCATAAATGTATCAGTTTGGAGATTTTGATTGTCAAAAAATTAGTTTATGGTAAATTTGTCACAGGTATACCGATTTTGGATTTTTTGTGTTCAAAAAATTAGTTTGAAGTAAATTTGTCACAAGTGTACTAGTTTGGGGTTTTTCGTGGTATTAACTTTTTTTTTTTTTTTTTTGGTGGGGGATACAAGTTCCTTTGCCCATAAGGAATTCTTTGTTTTTTCTTTTTTTAATTATAAACTTTGTTTTAAAAAAGAAAAAAGTGAAAGGAAGAGAATGTGATGATGCGTATGCTACTTGCATGGACATGCATCGCACCGAGCAATGACTCCCATAAAGTCATTCGAGTGATGTGGAAGGATGATATCCTTGGAAAGCAACAAGTCATTCAACTCCTTTCGCTTTAAATCCGGTTTTGCTAAAAAGCCGGGGGGCCCCACTTCGAGAATCTGGTCTTCGGATTGGACCTTGACCAGTCTCCCCCCACCATCTTGCCCTAACCCAAAATGGGATTTCTATTGGCTAATCTTACCCACAAAATTAACCAAAAGTGAACACATAAAAAATTAAAGATAGAGAGAGAGAGAGAGCTAGGAAGGGCCATTACATATGGCGAGATGGACCGGAGCAATCGCCATGGTTTTTTTGAAGCTCAGTTTGGACTCCGGCATTCGACAGGATGCGATCGGCTTGATTTGGTGTCGTCGGGCCATGGTATTAAGTATTTGCGTAGACTATAAGTGCGAAGGCAAAATCCAAACATGATGTGGAGGGCAAAGAAAGAAAGAAAGGCATAAAGAGGGGAACCCTAATATTATCAAAGCACAAGAAACCAAAGATCCTGGTTTTGGGGGGTTGCATTGCATGGATCGGAGAGCTTGAAATTCCAAAGCTATTTCATGCATGCAGCGTAAAGCCAAAGTGTGTGTGTGCATATGTTCTTTTTACTCTTTTATCCATTTCTCGAAGGGGGTTTCGTTTCCCAATAACCCTAGCTCCTTAGATATACGTCTCTTCTTTTCATGGGGTGGGCTTTTCTTGCTCCTGTTGCAATCCAGTAATCCATCTTTTCGGCAGGCTTCCGTGACTTTACTTCTTCGATTTGCCCTAGACATTTCATTTGTCATATGCTAAATGGAAATATGTTTTAGATCATCGGTTCTGGTGTTCTGCAACAGATTTAACGATTGATATGCAAACAAGATGAATGGGAACATTGCGTCGGACTGGTTTTTTTATTATTTTTTTTTGCTCACTGCACCCCAGCCATTGGATGCAACAGGGCAGCTTCCCAGCGCAGACACGTCAGCATGGTCTGTGACGTGGCACTTCGGCCATGAATTCAAAAGACTGCGGGTTGGTCTTGGTCCGGTAAAAAAGAGCAAAGCGAAACGAATGATGGTGATGGATAGAGATGTTTGTTTTTTCCCCGCTTTTCTTTAACGAGATGGGGAGAAAAAAGATGCTTGGCTTCCCGAGGATTGTATGCCAATAAGTGGAGTGAGAGAGCGACCAACCATCAACTTTCATTCAAACTTGTCAGAGAGAGAGAGAGAGAGAGAGAGAGAGAGAGAGAGAGAGAGAGAGAGTCTTCATTATTCTAAAGAACTGCCTTATATTTTGCTTCGATTCCATTGCAGGAAGCTTATGATTGAGAGACAGAGGTGGCGGAATCTTGAAAACGTCTCTAGATTTGCTCTCGGACCCACCCTTCAACACCATACAAACACCAAAGTATCAGCCCAAGAAGCTCGTCTCAACGGGAATTGTGCCACTAGAGCACCACTCCATCTTCTTCCATCTCGTTTCATGAAAGTTATCTCAATTCAATTCATGGGCTCTTGTTCTTGTTCCTGTTCCAATCATGGGGTCTTGATTCTTCTGTTTATCGCGCTACAAGCCCTGGTCTTTGTTCCTCACGTTTCTGCTCTCACAACCAGAGGCCTTGCCCTGAGATGGCACACAGAAAACAAGCTCCTTCTTGTAAAGAACATGCCACGCAGATTGTTACTCTCTGAAGAAGCTGTTGTGGATGCTCTTCTCAAGAAACAGAGCCTGGCTCCGACTCCTACGGCAGCGCCCCTTGACCCAAACCAGTCCGAGAAGAGAAGAGTTCCTAGAGGATCAGACCCCATTCACAATAGATGCTGAAAGTGAAGGTGCAGATTTTTACTACATTTGAGCAAACAGTGAGAAACAGACAGTGAAACTTGCATGGGGCTTTGTTCTTTGTTCTTTCGCTAGAGACGTGATTGATTGAAGAAGATGATGCTCTGTTTCTTCGCGGAGATGGCAACCGAATCATGCCGAGAAGCGTTGCATATTTGGGATTTCTCTATCTTGAAGCTTTTTTTGTGTTCTTTTTTCCCCGAGATATGTAACTGAAGCTTTTGGGTTAAGCAAGAGTTGCTCAGCCACCACCATCCTTCATGAAACTGCATATATTTGATCAGAGGGTGTCAAACAGTCTATTCTGGCTATCACCTGAATGATTTGGGAGGATGAGGTTGCTTGGTGGTTC